ATAACAAGTGTAATATCCACTAAAGCAAAGCTTAAGTATATAACACCAACATGTTGGGGGCAGCGCGCGGGGACGACTTGTCGGGCAAGAAAAGAAGTTTTCTAGGAGTCTTTTGAGCTGATTATTCTTCCCTACTTGGAGTGCAAGTCAAGACACAAGATCCCTAGTTATTTAGTTTCCTTAATGCTTTATGATATCTAGATTATTTAGGATACTTCATATTTTATTGCTTTCTTAGAGTTATAGTTATATTAGGATTAGATCTAGTTGGTGCCTATATAAAGGGCCTTCCCCTATGTTATTTTTCATCATTCAAGAATTAATAGAAATCCAGAACATTATTCTTCCACTTTGCTTTAGTCTTTTGTAACACCCCGCCTAAAACTTACTAAAATCAGAGTAAATTTTTCGCGCTTAAAAAGGAAAGCACTATTTAATTTTCGAAAACTCATATTATTTTTTCGAAAATACTTTAACTTTAAAAACGCGGGATGCTACTCAATTTTAATCTTATATCTTTATCACTATAATCTATCATGCATGCGACCAAGTATAATCATTCTAGAATTAAGGCCATGAATAATACCGGCTAAAACATGCATATTCTGAAAATCTCACATAATCTAACATCTGATATAATAGTCTGAAATCTGAAATCTGAAACACAAGTCTAGCATGCGGAAGCAAGTACAAGTTCAGAAAGCACACAAGCATAATTCAAACATAGATAATTTAAACATGTTCAAATACTATATGACATGTTTTCACAAAAATGTCCTGAAGCTGGACCAACACCACATAACTGCTCACGCTCCACGCGGGACTCCATCACCTGAAAAATAGGGTAGTGGGGAGGTGTGAGCACAAAGGAATCAACGGTGCTCCGCCGGAACCGGCACTGAATACTCAGCACATTTAATAATAAACTATGGAATCAACATATATATGAATAAACTGGTCTGACTATGGGACTAACGGTAAACCGGTACTCATGTGCACACTCTGGAGGTTACCTCCCATAGAAATCCAGGAAAGGCACTAATCACCCCATCTGGACGCTAAACATAGGCTGGGCATCGCCCACTCAACCAAGTCACAACTGACATCTGACATCTTGACCAAGACGGGATCACTCATTCGTCTCGGTTTTTCAATTTAATCACATATAGATCTCAAACATGGTAAATTATTAAAAGCGATGAAATACACAGTACATGGTCCCCACCTGGAAAGTGGCGAAAAGCGAATGCTGAAAATATCTGAATGGGTAGCTGATGGAGGCTCGACTCTCCTCAAGCAACAAAATATATTGAGCGAAATATTCTAAGTACTAAGCTCAGAATAAAACTCAAACCTTTAATATCTTATATATCTAGATTCGCTCACTCGGCTTTAAAAATCATTTTGGGATTACGAGCTGATTTCGAAAATATTATCGTCGTTGAGGCATTCTAGAGTTCTCTGAAATATTTCTAAGTCTGGGACTAGGATCTGACTTAATCTAATCTGACTGAAATGTAAACTATATCTGAATCTTTAATCTATCTGGAATCTTAACTTTATCTGAAATTTATCTGAATATAGATCTGAAATGCTATCTCTAAAATTTTATCTGAAATATATATCTGAAACTCTATCTCTGAAATTCTATCTGAAATATATATCTGAAACTCTCAACGAACTATCCGGCCTGCCCGGAATGGTTCGACTGAACTGGACCGACGGCTCACTCGAAGTTAGTCAATCATCCGCTTGACTATGTGCAGCTCGGTTTGATCGTGGTCCGGGTTCGGCGTGGCAACTCGGGCCGGCACGAACTCGACTGACACAGCTTAGCCGATGCACGGGTTTGAAACGGTGCCACGGTCACTGACGCAGGGACGTGCTTGGACCACGGCTAACGGAACGACGCGTAGACGGCAAGTCAGATGGACTCGGTGCACGGGCACGCACTCGGGGGTTGACTCGAACTCGGTGCACGGGCACGCACTCGGCGGTTCGGCTCCAACGGTCGGACGAGAGACGGTCACGTGCGCGAGACGACGATGCACATTACGAATTGACGATACGACGGTTAACAATTATCCAGACGGTACTAGGATTCAGTCCTTTCAAATCGGATCTAGAAATATACCCGGTTATGGGAACCGGATAAAACTAGGGTTTTGATTCCAGAAAACCCTAACTCAATTAAGGCCGATAATTAATATACACATTCTATGTGATTTATAATATATCTATAATGCGCAACTTTAGCTAAAATCTCGATCAAACTAATATTTTATTTTTACGGCATTAATATCTAAAGTCTCGATTTTTATAACTAAGTCAAACAACATCCAAAAATTACGAAAATTGAAACATAACATCCTAAATATATATATAGTCTATGGTCAACATCTCAAGTCAAAAGTCAACTCCTAACTTAGTCAACTTGAAATCGCTACGACCGGTCA